CAGATGTAGAGGCTGACAATGTGCAAGGGCAAAATGCACTGTATATTGCACATACAAGGGAGAATTAACTATTATTATTATTATTAACTATTGCAAAGTTTTATAAAGAGTCGTAAGGTGATAAAAGCATGGAAATGGCTGGTTACTAATTTTGAACATGCTGCCTTAAGTATCTGCACTGGCAATTTATTTGATCGGATGTGTGTAAACACACAATTGGTTCAACTTACTGGATTAAAAGTATGAACATCTTGCTCAAAAGTGTAGTTCTTAGCTAGTATTATAGATTTGCCTTACTTAATAGACTAACGCAACTTTAAATGCTTGTTGCTAGGGTAATATGCTGCCTAGCAATCGTGGCTAAGGTTAATTTGGGTTTTAATTGCCTTAAAATAGTCTAGTGACAGTTCTGATGCCCTGAAACATAGTTATTAGCATTAATAAACTTTTTAAACTGGACAAGAAAGGTCTAATTAGCTTGTTACTAAGGAAATTCACTTCCATAGCAACAGTTGCTAAGCAACGCTTGGAAATTTTGGGCACTGCCCTTGAAAATGATCAGCATAGACCAAAGAACAATTGTGCCAAGTTTCATGCTTTTTCCACATTTTGAGCAATTTGGCCAAAATATAGCACCAGTCATCCAGACTATATGTTTAAAAGAGACAAAATAGCAGAATTATCGACCTGCTCAACATACCTCATTTTTGGGAGTTATACCCCTTTGATCTCGTAGGGTCTTGTTTAATTTTGAATTCAACAAAGTACTGGTATGGTATGGTTTATTTCTTTACAGTGAGCAGCTTCGAAATCAGAACAAAGATCTGAAAATTGAGCTGGACCAGCAGGCTCAGATAGCAGAAGAAGAAATGAAGAAGCTTCAAGCAAAAATGGAGAGCCTACAGCAGACATTAGACAGCTTGGAAAATGAAAAAGATGGTGTGTTAAAAGATAAGGAAAATTTGTTGGAAGAGGTGAGAGGTTGCCCACTGAATTATGAAGTAATGCCAACACAAATAAAATTGAATTTAAATATTGCTACATTGACTTTGAATTGACTTTGTAAAAAAATCAGACCTGCTATAACTGTTTTCTTGTTACCATGATTGAATATTGTCACTTAATATTAAATCTACTGAGAACTGTTATTTAATTTTGTCTTATCAAGTTATCACTGTTATTACCAGTCCATTAATGAATTGAATAATGATTGAATAGCTTTATTTTAATAGTAGTCATTAAAACAAAGTGTGATTTATTTTTCCATGTAAGGTGATACTATTATTATTATTATTATTATTATTATTATTATTATTATTATTATTATTATTATTATTATAACCCAGGTCAACCAGGCAGTAGATGGGATGGCTGAGGAGAGGACCAGACTGCAGGCAGAACTACAGCAAGCTCACCTAGAAATCAAGACACTAACACAGGCCAGCCATCAGCTGGAACAAGAGAACACCAGGCTGATGGAGAGAATGGGGGCAGTGGAACAACAACAGGTAGAGTCGGGTTTTTTGAACCATATAAGGTTAAACTAACAGCCATTTTCCTCTTCTGCACAAGATTTTTTAAATATAACTATTGCTAAGTTTTAAATTATTAGATTGTGTAACTTAGTTTTGCCCAACTGAACTGAAGTCATTTTCAGCTTGCCATATTCAGTGCAAAAAGAAAAAAAAAAACTATGGGGAGGCTGACATATTCCTTATTTCTGAAATACTCTTTATTCAACTTAAATCTTTTCATAAAAAGATTTCTTATATGCACGAGTACGTAGCAGAGAAGCATGGATAATGAAGTGGCATGGTATTAGTATTTGTAACAGTATATATAATAAGACGTAGTATAGTATGCTAAGCTATGGCATTGTATGGATGTGGTATCATACAATGTGGTAAAACACCTCTCTTTTCTGTTTTGATCCAGCAAGCCCAGCACCAAGTGGACCATGTTATTGCAGAGATGACGGAGCAGAAGAACAAGCTGGCCTACGAGAAGGGAAAGCTGCAGTCCAAACTGGAGCAGCTGCAGAGAGACATGGAGAGCTTGTCTGGCTCCAAGGCTGAGCTGGCGCAGCTCAGGAAGATTAACCAGGCTCTGGAGGGAAAATATACCAAGGTTTTTACTAGTGTGTGTGTGTGTGTGTGTGTGTGTGTGTGTGTGTGTGTGTGTGTGTGTGTGTGTGTGTGTGTGTGTGTGTGCACGCGCATGCATGTGAGAGAGAGAGAGAGAAGAGTTAAGGATTAGTGGGAATAACATACAAACTGAAGGTCATTAGAGTTGCGGTTTGATAAAAGTGGGTTGAAATGGGAGAAGGCCCCAAAGAGTTTAGATTAAATTGAGGAAAATGAACCAGTTCTCAGTGAGAATCTGTATGATGGTTGATAGGTTATAAATAAAAAAATCAGATATTTGTACAAAGTACTTTATAAATTGAATTAAGATTTACAATTTATAAGACAACAAAATAGATGCCTAGAATAATTTCTGGCATTAAGAAAAGAAACATCGCATATTTTCTAAATCTTAAATGATTTTAAGAATTTTGCAATTTCAGGCACAGAATGACCTGGGCAATTGCAAAATCAGCCTCCAGAGACTAGAGAGTCAGCTGAAGCAGGTGTCTGCTGTGGGCCAGAGGAAGGAGGAGGATTTTGCCCTCGCCATTCAGGCCAGGGATGAGGCCATGAAGGAGACACAGAGACTGGCGGCACATATACAGGCACTGGAGGAAAGGGAGAGACAGAAGGTAAGAGATTTGGCCTCATCTGCAAGATAGTTGTTATTCAGTTCAATTCAAAAGGCCTTTTTTGATAAGGAGGGCTTGTTAGCTCTGATGAAAATGCTATCAGAGTTTTAACACGAGTAAAAGAGAAAGATAAGTTAACTCTGACAACGTTCTGTCTGAATTGAATTGATCAGGAAAACAAACACACACACACACATTCTGTTTGCAATTTCAATCTCTCTCTCTCTCTCTCTCTCTCTCTCTCTCTCTCTCTCTCTCTCTCACACACACAC